CTAACAACAACATTTGCTCAAGGCAGGCATGCTTAACTTATTAAGATCAACTACTGGTTCAGAGAAGATTTCAGGGGACAGTTTTGGGTTAAGGCTTAAAAACTTAGAGATGATGAGAAGCTGTTCTTACCCCTAAAGCTTTGGGCTCTCCTGTCAGGAATGTCTCCATGGGCCGCAGGTCAGAGGGCTGAGTGGCCCTTGGTGTCTGCGCCCCCAGTGGTGGCTCCTCAAACTGCATGATCCCTGGAGGCTGGCACATGGAGGTAGGCAGAATGGCTGGAGATGGGCGGAGGCCGCTGGCGTTGCTGGGCGGGATGACGACAAACACCCCATTGCTGGCAGGGGTTGTGGACATTGTGCTCTGAGAGCCTGGGAAACAAAGAAATGGGAGACAACAACAATAATAGTAAAAAGAATATTTTTTAGCTTATGAACATCATGCTAACCCACTCCTGCTCACTCAACTCTGTGAGGCTGATGGCACTGATCTGACTGAACTTAGATGGGGAAGCCAGGACTCAGAAAGGTGAAAACAAACAAGTGAACAAACCACCCAATTGCCTTTGAGGCCATTCTGACTCGTAGTGACCCCACGGATGTGGAATAGAACTGTATTCCATAGAGTTTTCAATGCTGAGACTTCAGGAGTAGATCACCAACAGGCCTCTAGGTGGGTGCGAACCGTTGACCTTTCAGCTAGTGGAGACGTTTGTGCTACCCAGGGACTCCCAGAGAAGTGAACCTATGGCCGTTGAGTGGATTCTGGCTCATGGTGACCCCATGTGTTACAGAATGTTGCTAAGCGCCGTCAAGTCCATTCTGACTCAAAGTGACCCATATAGGGTTTCTGAGGAGTGGCTGGTGAGTTAGAACTGCTGACCTTGCAGTTCAACTGACCTTGCAGTCTAGTGCATTATCCCACAGTGCCACAGCAGAATTGAGCTACTTTAAAGGGGTTTTTGGTTGTAATCTCTGGGTAGGCTCGAACCACAACCCTTTAGTTAGTGTTGTTTTTGTTACGTGCCATTGAGTCGGTTCTAACGAATAACAACCCTATAAAGGGTTTCCAGGAGTCCTGGCGTAGCGCTGTGGGTTAATGCACTGGACTGACAAGTCGGCTTCAACCACAAGATCGGAACCCTGATACAGGGTTGCTATGGGTCGGAACCAACTTGATGGCACTTAACAACAACAACATAGGGTTTCCAAGGCTGTACATCTTTGTGGGAGCAGAAAGCCTCATCTTTCTTTCATGGAGCAGCTAGTGGGCTTGAACCACCAAGCTTGTGGCTCACTGTCTGTTATTAATCCTCCAGAGGCCACTCAGGAAGCCTTGAGAAGTGAAGGGTTATGCAAAGTCAAGGTCCTTTAGGTGGGGCAGGGCCAGACCTTGAACTCCTATATCTCTGACCCCAGATGCCAGAAGTCTTTGTGAGAAGCATCTGTTTAAATGTCCTTTCCCCAGAGAGGACAAGCACCTTGTCCAAGAACACACAGAGTTGAGAGAGAACCCAGGTCTCTTCATCCATAGACCAGAGTACATCCATCACTTCCTGCCGTCAGCTCACAGTTAAGCCATCTGTGTATACAAACTTCCCTCCTTAATTTTCTGCAGTGGGAGGGCTTCTATTTGGCCATCTGAACAATTCTCTTGACGTAGCTGAGATATGCCTGGATTATTGAAACGCTGTGTGGCCTGGGCTAAATCTCTGGGGACAAACTACCCCTTACTAAGCAGTCATGAGATGAGTTTGCTAGGAAACAGCCGGGTTACAGAATGAAATGAAGAACAGTCAGATCTCTTGTTGGCAGTAGTGGGGGAAGTGCTAGCACATGTCTCTTAAATCTCTTAAGATAAAATGGGCATGGCAGCGTTCCAATAAAACTTTATTTATAAAAACAGATGGAGGGCCAGATTTGACGTATGGTGGCTCAGAACACTGCCTGGCACGTAGCAAATGCTTGATACATAGTAGCTACTGCTTCTGTGATTGTTCACAATAATGATGGTTCTGTGTCTTTGGCAAGATGTGATATTGTACTGAGACAGACTAAAGTCCCATAAAATAGAGATAATAATGGCTGCTCACATGACTCAGAAGTTTTTTGTGTGAAGATCAAATGTGAAAATAGATAAGAATGTTCTTGGAAATTAGAAAAGTCGTATGAGTATGTTGGGGTTCACTTCCAGGGCTATGGTTTCAAAACAATGTTAACAATGACCCTGTCTCCTCCCACACCTCTCTGGAACTTTCTAAGTCAATTCACAGCGATTGAGCCCCACACTGATTCGGTGGTGGGTACTTGGTAGCTGCCATCAAGTCAGCCCCTGACTCACGGTGACCCCATGCACAATGGGACTGGATCATTGTGATCAGTGCAGTTTCTCTGGCTGATTTTCAAAAGTAGACATCTAGGCCTTTCTTCCTAGTCTGTCTTAGTCTGGAGGCTTTGCTAGGACCTGTGCAGAATCACATCAACATGCAAATCTCCACTGACAGACAGCTGGGTGGTGGGTGGCCGGGGATCGAACCAGGAGAGGTAGAAACAGGGGTGGATTGTTCGCTGTGATTTAGAGACAAGAGAGTGTAAGTACACTCCCTCGGGGTCATGAAGCCCCAGGCTTCCATTTCCCTGTAGGATGGTACTGACTATGGGATTCAGACAGCCCTGGGTTTGAATCCTTCCTTTGCCAGAGTGAGGGGACCAACATTTGCATTTCATTCCTTGGTATAATGGTTCTAAAATGCTTGCAATTCACAGATCCATAAATTTAAGACAACTGAGGACTGAATGAATCTGTCAAATTCCCACTTTCCCAAGGAAGCTCATTTGAAAAAAACCATTCACACACTCACCAACATCAGAGAGGTAGGAAGGTTGTATTTTTAAAAATAAAAACACAAAACCTTAAAAACTATTGAGAAAATCTTTAAAACCTCAAACCAAAAACAACCCTGAAATCTTTCAACCAAACCATAGTTAGTTTAATGAGTACAGAATTCTGCCTTGAACCTTGTGCTCTTATAACATCTATGTGTGTGGGATTATATCGGCAACAAGCAATTTGAGAGATGAGACAGGAGCTGTGAGGACAGTCAGGGTATGTTAATGGGGGAAGAACAATTCAGAAAAGGGGACTAGTATAGTTGCACAATTTGAAGAATGTAGTTCTGGTGTGGCGCTGTAGGAGAAGCACTGGCCTGCTAGCCAAAAGATCGGTGGTTCAGACCCACCAGCTGCTGCATGGAAACCCCAAACAGTTACTATGATTCAAAATTGACACTGGTACTTAATAACAACAACAATCAATCTCGCGGGAATTGTACACGTAGAAATTGTTGAATTGGTGTATATTCTGCTGTGTATATTCTCAACAACAAAAAACCACAAAACCTTTAAGTGGAATGACTTTAGCTTGACAGACACCTCACAACGTAACCCATAAAGTTGTCATTTCACTGGGGACAGTTGAATACCGTGGGAGTGGACAGTGTCTGGGACCATTTTCTGAGATTCAATTCAGAAGGCTCTTTAGCCAGACACTTTGGCTCTGGATGGGGCCTGAGCCGTAATTAACATCTCTCCCTGGCAGGTGGTGAGAAACGCGCTAACACCTAGACCTTGCGCTCCTTTTGAGAAGAGAAAACGCTGACCAAAATAGACTCTTCCCGATAATAACACAGTTTAAGTGTCATCACGGAAGCATGAAAGTGTCACCTACTTCCTGACACTCTCGACCCCCTCTTTCCACCTCCACTCTCACACCCACTTGCACACCTCAGGCCAGGAGCCTCCTTTCCTTCCCAGCATCCCCTTACCCTCCCTTTCATCCTGAGGTTACTTGGGCCACGCCCCCAACTCCATGCCACCCCCTAGGACAAGTCTCTTTTTCTTACAAACCCATCAGCTGGCACACCTGAACACCAATACAAGAGAGCAGCTGACCAGCAATGGTGGAAAGGAGGGAGAGCCCGGTCCCCTGCCTCCAGGAGCTTACAAGGAACCAATTAGGGACAGACTGTATGTAACAGAGATGCAGAGACCCCCAGACATTCACAATAGGCTTATCATCAAGGGCTGAATGAGACCAGAGACCCTAACTAGAGCCCTGTGGTGCAATCCAGCCCATTTTGCAGACCAATCAACTGAGGATTAGAGATAGCAGTGTGGTGGAGAGGGAGAGAGGTGATGAGACCAGATGTCAGGATGAGCTGTAGCACAGATGGCCCGAGGGGACCAATAGGAAGCAGGTGGCTAAGTACCTGCTAGATGACGTTTACACCTTCACCCACAAGGTGTCCTATCCCACAAGAGGAATGTGAGCATTGGGGAGGGGAGGGGAGTGAACCCCCATTCAACTTAAGACAAGAAAGAGGTTGGCTTTCTGGAGACCATTAAGAGAAATTGATATCTGTAACCTGCATTTTGGATCTGCCCGATCTCTGAGTTGCGGGATGAGTTGTAGGGAGTACACAGTTGTAGGGAGATCCTAGTGATGGGGACATGGGAGGGGCATAGATGTCCCCATAAACCAAACTCCTCTCATGGGTAGTGATCCCATGGGGTGTATACTCCATAGGGCTTTCCATAGGACCACCATGAGTCAAAGGAGCTTTGGTAGCATAGTGGTTATGAGTCAGGCTGCAAACCTTAAGGTCAGCAGTTCGAAACTACCAGCTGTTCCGTGGGAGAAAGATGAGGCTTTCTGCTCCCGTAAAGACATTCATAGCCTTGGAAACCCTGTACAGGGTCCCTATGAGTCGGCACCAACTCCACAGCACACAACAACAACAACAATCATGAGTCAGCACTGACTAGATGGCAATAAACAACAGCAGTCTTCCCCAACCCCATCTAAGAGGCCATGCTTGGACCCGGTGGCCTCAGTGAGCCCCCAAAATGTGAGTCCACTTCGTTTCTGTCTACCCAGCTTCTGGTCTTCTGGTCATCTGCTGTACTGACTCACGGACCTCCCTGCCTTTGGTGGGGCCCTAGCCCTGTCGTATGTTGCCCTGGAATAATGGGCTGGTCCTGGTGTAGTGCTGTGGGATGAACTCTGGACTGCTGTTTGCATGGTCAGTGATTCAAACCTACTAGCCATTTCTCAGAAACTCTATGCAGGGTTGGTATCAGTCAGAACCAAGTCAATAGCACTTAACAACAACAGTGACCCCCCAGAGCAGCCAAGACCCAGATTGTGAGCATCTCTGTGCATCTTGATTCATGAGGAGCGGGAGCACTTTTGCTCATCACAGGCAGGGCCTGCCTGGGGAGACGTTTCCAGCTGGAGGAGACAGCACATCTGTGAGGCCGCTTTGCTTCATGGTTTAGGGTCACAGATCCTGGGGTCAAGCTCAA